TCTCTTCTCTCTCTCTCTCTCTCTCTCTCTCTCTCTCTCTCTCTCTCTCTCTCACTCTCTCTCTCTCTCACTCTCACTCTCACTCTTCACTCTCACTCTCTCTCACTCTCATCTACTCTCTCTCTCTCTCTCTCTCTCTCTCTCTCTCTCTCTCTCTCTCTCTCTCTCTCTCACTTCACTCTCACTCTCTCACTCTCACTCTCACTCTCTCTCTCTCTCTCTCCTCCTCTCTCTCTCTCTCTCTCTCTCTTCTCTCTCTCAGTTGCTGACGAACCTTATTATGACCCAATCTCACGGACATGCTCGCCTGCACATCCTCTCCCTTGCCTAAACTCGTCCTAATGCACTCGTTTCCAACTGACATACAGTCAGCCTCCCTTCTCACGTGCTGTTCTCTCATTTTTTCTCTTTCTTTCTCCTACTTCTATCTTTTTTTCTTCTTAATCACTTGTTTTACCTCCCGTATTTTTTCTTCCCTTTCTCCTTCTTTCGTTTCTTCTCTTCGTTCTCCTTCCCCTTCTTGTCATTCTAGATCCCTTCTTTGCCTCTCCTTCGGCCTCCTTCCCTTTTTACCGTCCTTGCCTTCTCTCTTCCTGTTTTCCTCTCCTCGCTGTACCTTCTCCCTCTTCTTCCACCTCCCTCTCCTTCTCCTCTGCCCTTGTTTCTATCTTTTGTTGTCCCCTATGATGCTCGGCTACTCCCCTACTCCCTCCCTCCCCCTCCCCTCCTCCCCTTTCCCCCTACCCCCCTTCCCCTCCCCCCCTCCTCCCCCTCCCCCTCCTCCCCTCCTTCCCCGTCCCCGCATCAGCCCACCTCGAAGCGCAAGCGACAATTCATCCAGCAAGTCGTTTGAAGAGATTTGCACAGTGTTGGTGCTACTGTATCGCGGGTCATACATATTTGATGACCCAGCTGACAGAGATCCCCCTTCCCCCTCGTCCCTCTTCCCAATTTCTGGAACCTCTTCAGCTTTCCTGTCTGTCGCTGTCTCTCTCTCTCTTCTCTCTCTCGCTCTCTCTCTCTCTCTCTCTCTCTCTCTCTCTCTCTCCCTCTCTCTCTCTCTCTCTCTCTCTCTCTCTCTCTCTCTCTCTCTCTCTCTCTCTCCTCTCCTCCTCCTCCTCCTCCTCCCCTCCTCCTCCTCTCTCCTCCCTCCCTTCCTCCCCTCCCTCCCCTCCTCCCCTCCTCCCTCCCTTCCCTTCCTCCCTCCGTCCCTCACTCCTCCCTCCTTCCTCCCTCCTCCCCTCTCCCTCCTCTCTCCCCCTTTCTTCCCCTCTCCTCCTTTCCTCCCTCCCCCCCTCCTTTTCCTCCCCTTCACGCTCTCTCACCCCCACCAAAATCTAGGGCACTGAAGCGTTCTCAGGGCAACAGAGCCATGAGACGTTGAGGGGGGGTGACGGTGGAGATGGGGCTCGGGAGGAGACTGTCACGTCATTTTCATTTTTTTTGTCGCAAAAAAGCGGAGAGTGAAAGAGAAAAAGAAGATTGGAATTTGGCATTCTATACTTCACCCCTTTTTTCTCTCTTTGGTCCTTACACCCCTAACTCTTTATCTGTATCTGCGTTTCTCTCTCTCCCCCCACCCCCTCCCTCCTCCCCCCCCTCCCCCTCCCCCCTCCCCTCCCTCCTTTCTTCCTCTCCTTATGTCTCTTTCTCTCCCTCTCTCCTTTCTCTTTCTCTCCCTCTCCTATTCTCTCTCTCCCCTTGCCCCCCCCTCTCTCTCTCTCTCTCTCTTCTCTCTCTCTCTCTCTCTCTCTCTCTCTCTCTCTCTCTCTCTCTCTCTCTCTCTCTCTCTCTCTCTCTCTCTCTCTCTCTCTCTCTCTCTCTCTTCTCTTTCTCCTTTTTTTCTTTCTTTTTCGTTCTCTCGTCCTTTTTAAAAATTTAAATGAGTGAATAATGTATACATTGGTTGGGATTTTCGGGTAGGAAAGGTTTGCATTTTGTATATTTGTAGAAGAGCGTGCAAAAGATTTTTTTTGTCACTGAATTTTGATAGGGTTGCATTCAAACGATTCTTTTTTCCTGGAAAATGTTTGTTTATTGTCAGTCATTCCGATACAGACGCAAAAGTTTATTGAGCATATTCATTATTATTACTAGGTTGTCAATCAGTGTCAGATCAGATGGATGGGCGTAATCTATGTGTTTTTGAATTTTGTTTGCTTGTTTATTTAAAAATTTATTTTATTTTTCGCTTTCGTGGTTTACTGCTCTAATGAGGAGGACAGTAGAAAAAGGATGATGAAAGGAGGAAGAAGGAGAAAAGATGAAACAAAGAGTACATTTGGAAGAAGGGGAAGCAAGAGAGAAAAGCAGAATTCGAGAAAAAAGTAGGAACTGGAAGATTGCGAGGAGAAAGAGGAAAATTTGCGAAGATTAACGAAACATAAGAAAATTATTTGCATATATCAGCGGTTATTCGTTCAATAATTAATATGTATATAAATATGTTTATGTATGAATGTGTCCCAGAAATCGTAGTTGCAGTAAATAAGTTGTTTCTTGTACGATCGTTTTAAACTCTTTATGTGGACAAAAAATGTGCAAAACCTTTAAATGGCTTCTCATAGAGGAAGAGAAAGGAAAAGGAAGAGCAGGAAGAATGGGAGGAAGAGATGAGAGAGGAAGAACGCGATAGAAGAGAATCGGAGGTAGGAGACGAGAAGGGAAGACTGTGATAAAGAAGAATTGGAGGAGAGACGAGAAAGGAAGATCGCGATAAGAAGAATTGGAGGAAGAGGCGAGAGAGGAAGACTGCGATGAAAGAGGCGAGAGAGGAAGACCGCAATAAAGAAGAATTGGAGGAAGAGACGAGAGAGGAAGACTGCGATGAAAGAGGCGAGAGAGGAAGACCGCGATAAAGAAGAATTGGAGGAAGAGGACGAGTCGCGCCATATGCCCTCCGCCTCCCGCCCTCCGCTTTGTCGCGAGGGGCCGCGCCAATCTCGCCGCTTTCCCCCCGGGGCCGAAGGTCGAGCCTCACCCCGGGGTCGCGCAGGAGGGAAGGAGCTTGTTATGAGTGGCTGAGTGGATCTCTCTGATGCTCCTTCGCGACGCCAGCTGATTACGGGGCTTAGTGTTGGTGGGGAGGGCGTGGAGGGAGGGAGTGGAAGGGTGTAGGGAGGGAGAGGGGAGGTGGGGCGAGGAGGGAAGGGGCAAATGGGAAGGGCAATGGATGGATGGATGGAGGGTCGGAGAGGTGGGAAGTGGAGGGGTACGGAGGAAGAGGAGGGGTGGAGAAGGGGAAGGGAAGGATGAGGGAGGGGGAGAGGAGAAGGAAATGGGGCAGGGGAGGGAGGACGAGAGAGAGAGAGTGGGAAACGCGTAAAAGATTTCTGGGTCGGGGAGAGGGGGCGATGTGGGGGAGAGTGGCGGGGGATGGGAAGGGAGGCAGGGCACGAATGGGAGAGTCCGAGAGATGGGGCAATAAAGTGGGGTTAAAGGGAGCATTGGTCAGGAGAGGAGAAGAGAGAACGGAGAATGAGGGAAAGCAGACTTCCGGTGGGTCAGCGGCGCCATGACTTGAAAATGTCAGCGACGTGTGCTTGTTTACTTACCGTTACGCTCTCTGTGTCCGCTAACCATTCTGCTTCTGCCGTGTGCGCGTGAATATGCCTGTGTATATGCATGTATTAGTATGTGCATTTATTAGTATGTGTATTTACAAGTGTAATTGTCCGTGTGTTTATATTTGCTTGCGTTTTCCTTTGCCCGTGTTTGCCGATGCGCGTGCGCACGTTTTGTTGATGCCATGCCCGGCCTCCAGTGTTGATTGTCTTAAAAGGGCAAAGGATGTCGATACCCTCTTATTACGACCAGCGTGCGTTTGTAATGGGAGCTCAGGGTTCTGTTGCTCTCTGGGAGACTTTGATATCTTTTGGCGTTGTCTCTTGTATGGGCTGAGATGGAGGTGTCGATTATGGGGTGTGGTTGGTGCGAAATGCATTTACTCTCGTGTCTGTTCTCCTCTTTCCATGCGTATCTTTTTCTTTTGTTTCTCCCCCCTCCTCTTTTCCCATTTTATCCCTCATTTATCCTCCCTCTTTCTGCTATTCTCTCGTCCCCTTCCCTCCCCTCTTTCCTCTCTCCTATCCCCTCTCTTCTCTCTGTCTCTCCTGGCCCCATCGCTCTTCTCTTTTCTCCTCTCCTTTCTGTCTCTCCCCTCCTCTTCCCTTCTCTCCTTCTCCCTCCTCCTCCCTCTCCTCTCCCCCAACGCCCACCCTAGCAAAGTTGAGCGGAAGCTGGCACCGCGCCCTCGTTGCCTCCGCTGGCGCTCAAGCGTCGGGCGGCCAGCTCAGCCCAGCGTCTCCGAACGAACGTGACCCGCGAACGTGACCTGAGAACGGGACGGGACGTCTTTAGGGAAGGAAGGGGGGTGAGGGGGAGACGGAGGGATTGAGGGGAGAGAGAGAGAGGGAGGTAGGGAGTGATTAGGGGGGGAGGGAGGGAGGGGAGGGGAGGAGACTCTAATATGGGCAATGAGGGAAGGAGAGAGGGTATGAGGAGGAGGGAAGGGGGGCGAAAGCGAATGGAGAGGTGGGAGAGGAGAGGAGGAGAAAGGGGAGAAGGGCGAAGGGTCGGGATTTCTGGCACGGAATGGGAGGTGGATAACGATGGGGGAGGGGCAGGGGTAGGGTAGGGGAGGGGTTGATTGCTGATTGGTTGTTTCGTGACGTAAGAGGAGTGGATATGTCGTCTTGGTGGAATTGGCTTTGTTTACTCGTAATTCGTTTGCGTTAGATGAGGTGGCAGGGAGATGATTGCTTGTTTGTTTTTTATTGTTTTGCTTCGTGTCTCATCTTTGTTTGTGTACATTTTGTTATCTTTGTCGTAAGTTCGGTTGTTGTTTGTTTTTAGTATTACCATTGGGTGCCTGGGCTTCGAATTGTAAAATGAAGAGAGAATAGAGAGGGGAGATGGAATAGAAAGAGTAGGATGAGTCGATAGAGGAAGAGGAGGACGGCGAAGAGGGAAGCATTAGAGCGAAGTGTGGCACAGTGATCATGGCGGGAATTGGTGAGTGCCACGTTGAGCTTTCATCTTCCTACCTTTCTCCTCTTCCTCTCCTCTTCCTCTTCCTCTTTCCTCGGCCATTTTTACCTTCTCCTCTCCCCCTTTGCCTTCACTCCTCCCGCACCTCTCTTTTTCTCTTTTTACTTTTTCCCTTTTTCCTCTTTTTACCTTTTATTTCCATTCTATTTCCCTCCTTTTTCTCTTCCCTCTCCCTCTTTCTCCTTCTCTTCTTCCTTTCCTTCCTCTTTTCTTATCTCATTTCCTCCCTCCCTTTCTCCTCACTTCCTCCTTTTCTCCTTCTCTCCTCTTCCTCCTTCCCTTCCTCTTTTCCTATCTCCTTCCCTTCCTCTTGTCTTATCTCCCTCCCTCCTCCTCCTTTCCTCCTTTCCTTTACCTTCTCCTCCTTCCTTCCTTCCTCCTTTCCTTTATCCTTCTCTCCTTCCTCCCCTTCTTTCCCTCCTCCTGTCCTTCATCCTCTCATCCCTCCACCTATTCTCCAGAGCGACTCGAAACGTCCGCTTTGTGGCGCGGTGCTGGACGTGGCCGGCCCCTGTGACGTCACCGCGCGTAATGAGGGGACGTAACGCTGCCTGTGACGGAGATTTCTGCTTTTATTCTCTCCGTTTTTATTTCCTTGCATTCTCTTTTTCTTTTCCTTTCGTTGTCTTGTCTTGGCGTCTTTTTTGGGGGGGTTGTTTTTTTTCTTTCTTTCTTTCTCTCTTTCTTTTCTTTTGTTTAAAGAAGAGTTTTTGCGAAGGACGGAAGTCGAGATAAAGGTGGAGATTGAGTTGCTTAGGCTTGGCTTGGCTTGGCTTGGCTTGTGGATTTGAGGTAAGGGTGGTGAGGGGAGTGAAGCCAGGGGTGAGGTGAGGGGGAGGATAACTTTCTAGACGAGGTGGAAGCAAAGCCTGGCCGATGATTCTTCTATGATGTGAATGGGGGTGGGGGGGGGGTTAGGGTGAAGGAAGGACAATGGTTCATTTCTCGTTGAGGAGGGGAGGGGGCGGGGTGAAGCAAGAGTCGAGGCGAAGGGGGTGAGGAACGGGAAATTCGTTAACTTCATCAGCGTTGAAGAGGAGGTTAAGTTAGGGCTTCCGACTGAACCCAAAACTTGAGTGACTTGACTTGCGGGGGGGAAAAAAAACGAAGGACCGATTCAGGAATCTTGGTGACTTGCGGCATCCCCCTCGCTCCGCCGTGAGGGCCGAGTCTGGGCGTGGCCTGGCTCGGAAGGAGGGGAAAGGAGAAGTCATTTGTGAGGGATGGGAGGGAGGAAGGAAGGGGGAAGGGGTAAGGGGAGGGAGGAAAGGCTAGGGGAAGGAAGGGAGGGGGAGGAAGGAAGGAGGAAAAGGGGGAAGGAGGAGGAAAGGGGTAGGGGAGAGGGAAGAAGGGAGAGAGGAAAGGGTAGGGGAGAGGGATGGGGAGAAAAGAGAAGTAGGGGAGAGGGAGAGGAAAAAAGAGAAAGTAGGGGAGAGGGAGGAGGAAAAAGAGAAGTAGGGAGAGGGAGGAGGAAAGAGAAGTAGGGGAGAGGAGGAGGAAAAAGAGAAGTAGAGGGAGGAGGAGAGAAGTAGGGGAGAGGGGAGCTAGGGAGGAGGGAGGAGGGAGAAGTAGGGGAGAGGGAGAAGGAGAGAGAGAAGTAGGGGAGATGGAAAAGGAGAAGGAGAGGGAGAGGGAGCGGGGGAGAGAGGATTAGGGGAAAGGGAGAGAGAGAAGAGAGAAGTAGGGGAGAGGGAAAGGAGGAGAGGGAGAGGGAGTGGGAGCGAGAGGATTAGAGGAAAGGAGAGAGTAGAGGAAGAGAGAGAATAGGGGAGAGGGAGAAGGAGAGAGAGAAGTAGGGGAAAGGGATGATAAGGATAAGAAAGTTGCAGGAAAGGGGAAGGTAAGGATAGAAGAGAAACTGGGGAGTGGAAAGGTGGGGGAGAGGGATGAGGGGCATATTTCAGAGTAGAGATGTAAGGGAAGGAGAGGCAAGGGTAAGACGAAGTAGGGGGGTGAGAAAGTATTGGGAGGGAAGGGGGGAGAAGGAATGGGTGGGGGAGGGTAAGTGATAGGGGGTGATATGGTAGGGGGGGAAAAGGGATAGCGAAGGAGAGTAGGGAGGACGGTGGTGGGGGGTGGGGGGGCGAGGAGGGGGGGATTCGTAAAGTTAGTGAAGAGTCGGAATGTCAATGTGGCGCCGACCCTCTCGGTCTCGGACTGGTGTCTGAGGAAGATGTGAACATTTGAATACTAACAAGAAAGGAGGAGGGAGGGAGAGGGGGGGGGGGAGTCGGAAGAAAAGAAGAAGAAAAAGAAAAGAACATAACAACAATAACAATAACAACAATAACAATAACAATAACAACAATAACAATAACAATAAAACAACAACAACAACAAGACACGACAACAACAACAACAATAACGAGAGCGAGACAAGCAGACAGACAAAAATAGATGAAAACGCAGGTGAATGCGGAGTAGAGACGGAAAAATAGAAGCTTGCCACATCATCAAATTACAG